GATATGTTTTGTACGACGATGAAGTTCTGGGTTTTGTGCCAATTTGATTGACGCTTCATTGTCAATAAACATATTTGGTAGACGTCTTAACTTCACAATTTGTTGATAAAGTCGTTTCAACCATATAACTTCTCTAGCAGCTTCACTTGCAGCTACTATTTCGGCTTCCATAGTTGAGATTGCAACGGAACTTTGACGTTGGCTCATCCAGGAAACAGCACCTCCTGCATAGATACAGACAATACCCGTAGTGGAACGTCCTGTGGTCTTATCTCCTCCATGATCTGCGTCGCTATAACTGTCTATACAACCCTTCTTGTAATTTGGTTTGTAGGTTATGCCAAAAGCAAAAGTACCCTTCAGGTATCTAAAAATTATCTTTACTAATGTAAAATCTTCTGCCTTAGGATCTTCTAGGTTTCTAGATGCTACACCTACGGCAAAAGCAATATCTGGTCGTGTACCAGTCATTAAATAAATTAATGCTCCTACAGCTTCTTTATAAGAGAAAGGTTTATTTTGATCATTATTCTCCTCTTCTTCTAGGTTCTCTTCCTTCCCTTCTTGTTAGCTCTTCACAATCGGTGTAGATACTGGCTTGCAGTCTTGCATACCAAATCGTTGTAACAATTTTTTTTGTGTAGGCACTTTGGTTGACGGTGATTTCTCCATCTGCTCTTCTATTTATTTCTAGACCAAGAAAATAAAAAGCAGGTTTTATGGTAACTTTAAATTCATTTCTTAGGTCTTTCAGAAATTTATTTTTCATGTCTTCATTATTTGATGCTAGCAAACCATCGTCTACATATAATGCCAAAATTAGCATATCGCCGTTTTCTTTCTTCACAAAAAGACATGGGTCTGCCTCACTTTCTGTAAAGCCTTGAAGAATAATGAAGTCAACAAATATTTTATTCCAGCATCGAGGAGCTTGTTTGAGACCGTAAAGGCTTCTATTCAGGCGACATACTCGATAACTTTCTGGTTGTCTCATAAATACCTCTTCTTTTAATTTTCCATATAAAAATGCTGTACATATATCAAATTGTGTTAAAACCATATTTTTGCTAGCAGCTATACTTAGCAAAGCCCTTATAGTACCCAACTTTGCAACTGGACTAAAGGTTTGTTCATAGTCTTCACCTTTTTTCTGTGAATAACCTTTTATTACTAATCTTGCCTTATACTTCTCAATGGAACCATCTGGATGTGTCTTAATTTTATAGACCTATTTGCAAGAAATATCTTTCTTTCCAGGAGGTAAATGATCAAGAGTCCAAGTGTTGTTTTCTGCAAGAGATTGCATTTCTTTTCTCATTGCCTCTTTCCACTGCTCTTTATTATATCTTCTCATGGCTTCTTCATAAGTTAAAGGCTCCTTAGACTGGAGTATATCAGTTGCAACAGACATTGCAAAGTCTTCAAATCTGACTGGTTTTCTAAGATTTTCTCTGTTTCTAAGAATTCTACCAGATTCTTCATGGTTTTCATTTTCTGAAACTTCATGTTCTTCACTTATTTCTTTTTCAATGTATGTTTCATTCTCATCTCTGGATTCATCACTTTATTCACTATTTTGTTCTATATAATCTTCTGAATTCCTATTTACAGACCCTTCTGATCTTCTATCAAACTGGCTTTGAGTTGATTGACCATTGCTTTGATTTGTATCAGATAGTATGGTAGGCATATTTACAGAAGATAAAATTATTTCGTCAAAAGTGACATCACGAGATCTTATTAGTATTTTGGTTTCTTTACATCAAATACGGTAACCATCATTGTTGTCATATCCTATGAGTATTCCCTTTACAGCCTTTTTATTCATTTTCTTTCATCGCTGTTTAGGAATGTGAGCATAGCAGGTGGTTCCTATGACTCTTAGATGTTTTAAACATGTTTTATTTATATAAACTTCAGTTTAACAATATATTTTAACAATAAAAGTACTTGTACATGGATACTAAATTATACAGGACGCATAATTATTCCTATGATCTTAACATCAACAATGTCTGTAATGTTTCTTCTCGAAGACTTTGGTCATGAAGTATTTTTCCTATTGTTCTCTTAACACTGCCTATTAACCTTTCCTATGCACCTGCCATATTAGAAACCGAAGATGGTATGAAGTGGAAGTCAATTCCTCTTGCAGACACCGAATCTTTTAACGCTCTTTGGTCGATATTGTCAAGAACTTCTTTTATTTATTTTCAAGCACAACGTAGATTCGATCCAATATCACAGTAAATCCTCCGTATGGCTCCTCTATTAAGAGTATGAGCGATTTTAAGATGAATTGCACGGATGGAGAGACATGTAAATATTACTCCCCAGCGTTTTTCTTGTCTTCGGCTGATTTTGACAAAGATTGACCCAAAATAATCCATTCCTACGTTAGTGAATGGTTTAATTTCTGGCTTAAGTCGAACTTCTGGTAGTTGTCCCATCAGAGGCGGCTGTGGTCTTCTCTGACTAAGCTGGCATCTTACACATTTGGATCAAATAGACTTTACAGCGGTTCTTCCATTCAGTATTCAATATCTCAGTCGTAAATGGTTCAAGACTGTTTCGGTTCCAATGTGTCGTAGTTTTTTGTGGGTCCATCTTTTAATAAATGTAAATGTCCATTAATATTTAGTAAAAAACGATAGATAGGGAGATATTTTAGGTAAAAAGAGCAATCTGAAAAAAGGGAGACAGTTCCTGAACTTTTTCAAAATTAAAATATGGGTTTTATTAATCCTCTCCACGTAGAAGCACTTGAACCTCCACTAGAGTATCGACGAAGTTTTTGACAAAAGTACACCTTCAAAACATAGAACTTTTTGGAAATATTAGCCGACTACATGTATTATAAATATTGGAAATTAAAAAATTCCCCACCATTGTGCATTGCGTTTCAACAATGCCAAAATCAGTTGCTCGACATATATAAAACTGATGATCTAACACAACTTGTTGACTATCCCCTATTTCTTCACAAAAATCGTATCATTCAACCATATTATAACTCTGATGTATATGGTAAAACGAGACACGGTTTCATGGTAAAACGAGACACGGTTTCATGGTAAAACGAGACACGGTTTCAGATCTTACGGAAGACCATGTGAATTTATTTGCATGGTTCTCTATAGAATTTGATGGATGCCATATTAACAGAAATTTAATTTCTGTTGATATGACATCCAGATTATTAAAATAAAATCACCATGCGCTACCGTTTTCGATGATGGTGGGTGAGATTTTCCGGGTTTTCCTCACCTGTAAGTCAAATGGCACCATCAATCATCTTTAAGTCGCCCCGGAGCGCCACGGCAAATAATAATAATATTCGTCCCTTTCCCCGCACAAGCTCAGCTTTTGGGGTTAAAATTCACTTGTAAGGGGGTGATGGGGAGAGTATTATTATTATTATCATTACGCATAAGTAGAAATATATTGAGGTCATTTCTATCTAATTGGGAAAACACCCTACTCATATATACTGATGCCTCTAAAACATCACATGGAACAGCTTTTGCTTATTATATTCCATCTGGAAACATAGAAAAATTACACAGCCTAAATTCTGCATTTTCTATTTTCAGTGCCGAAGCTGTAGCTATTATGTCAAATCGATTATTTACAACAGTGCACTGCTAGTTTCCGATTCTATATCTGTTTTAAAGGCCTTGGAAGATACGAAACTCCCAACTATTGATTGTAATCCATATATCTTCAAAATTAAAAAACTTGTCTCTAACTGGTACACTAATTCGTTTCTTGTGGATAAAAGCTCATATGGGTCTAGCAGAAAATGAATATGTCGATAAACTTGCTAAAGATAGCATTAATACTGGAAATACACATCCAGACTACAACTTATGCATGTGTGATTACTTTGTTACTCTCAAAACCAAACTACGTTTAACGTGGTCGCATTCATAAAGTGAATTTTCTTTTACTAACCCAACAAGATACATATTGTTACATCCGACCATACCTACAAAATATTGGCACAAGCAGTTTAATATTCCTCGCAGATTTATCACAACAATCATTAGACTCAAATTTGGACACGCATGTTATCCCCAACATCTTTCTCTTATAAATGTTATACCTAGTGACAACTGTGAACACTGTGGAGGTATAGGTGATCTAGATCACATTTTCTTTAAATGCACAACGTATCAGAATCTGTCAAATGAATTATATAAAAAACTTTGCAACGTAAATATAACTGCTCCGTTTAATGTATTGTCATTTTTGGCTTCATCTAAAAAAGAAAATTTTGATTGTTTGATAGAATTTTTGTCAAAAGCAGATATAAGATTGTAGTAGATTTGTTATCGTTGTTTTTGACATATCCTAATTACGTTTGTTATATTACCCTACCCACACCTTAGTCTATTTCTAGTGTGTCTTGAAAAAAAATGTCCTGATGGGTCCCTGGACGAGAAACGAGTGTTCTTGTTTATTTCCTTTGAAAAGTATTGTCTTTTTAATTTTTGTTTGTCGTGATAGGTTGGTTTAATTGCGATAGATTAGTTTTGTTACGACAGATTGGTTTTGTTTCTATGGATTATTATTTTTGTTCCCATTGTTGTTTACCATTTATTTTGTATTATATTATTTATATTCATTAAGTGACTGGCTGAATGACAAAAAGTCTAAGCCAAAAAGAAAATATGGGTTTTATTATTCTAAGAGAGTGTAACTTTTCTACAAAATTTTGCGAAAAATCTGTAGCCGTTAAAAAAACAGCCAACTATAATTTTGGGGGAAAATCATTAAAACACCCTATATTTCAGAAACGATTCAGATTAAATATAAGTATTTGGATGTTTTCAACTCGAATAAGTCTGTTTTACCTCCCATTAAGCTATGTTCGTTTAAATATATCATTAGTTCTTACAAATCAAAAATATGTTCGAAATAATACATTTTACCTACACTAGAACAATATTGATGATCCTGATGGATAAAAATCTACGTATAACTGAATAAAAACTTACTTAAAAAAGTAGGTGTCGTTAATGTATCCAAAAAAAGGAACAGTGTAAGTCAACATCCATATGTTGCCTCCGCCACAATCGTAATACGGTTTGGACCATTTTCCATCTTCGTATCTAACTGACAATATTTCTTGAGGAATTCGATTGCCCATAGCTGTAGTATTATATCTGTGAGCTTTGTAACCTGAAACAAGTATTGAAATATATTAGAATTTTACAGTTTTCCTTATGTCGTCGAATATATTGGAAACATGTGTTAGGCATATTGATTCTTTTTATAGGCAGGACTTCGAGAAAACAAGAAAGGTTCTCTTTTATTTTATTTTATCATGTCATGTATCTAACTGGTCAATTTGATCATTCGTGCATGACCTTTTGTCTATCTATTTTAAATATTTAGGAATTGAAAAAAAAAAGTGATAAAGACAGTAGTTTATTTTGACGATCTGTTCATGCGCATGCAATGCAGATTGATCCTGTTGCTAAAATAATAAAGGAGACTTTGGAGAACTATAAAAATATACAATATTTAAAATAGATGGGTACAATGTTATTTATAATGGTGGTGATATAAATCGTAATGATGGTGTAATTGTTTTTATTGAAAACAATTTATCATATAGCTATAATATTAAACCAATAGGCCCATGCAAGTCAATTCAAATTTTAGTTGGGTTGAAAAAAAAAATAAAAACCTTATAACTGCAATTTACAAACCACCTCCTATAAATTCACAACAGTTAAAATTAAACTGAAAATAAACAAAAATATTTTTGTAGGTGATATTAACATAAATATAAAAAATCAGACGGACTTAGTTTTTTATTATCTGGATGTTTTAGGTGAGTTCGATTTTGAATCCTTAATAAATAAACATACACGTATATAGGGAAACTCTAGAAGTTGCATTGACCACATTTTTTATAGTGATTTGAAGGATAAAGTAACTGAAAATTGTATAGCTGTTGTCTATGATATAAAAATAACTGATCATAAATCCACTTTTGCCTATTTAACTGTATACACAGTAAATATTAAAGAAAAGGAATCTAAAAAAATAATTAATTACAATAAACTTAGAACAGATATCGAACATTTCAATTGGTTAACTTTTTTTAACATCAAAAATATTAATAAAAAAGCAAATTTTTTAATTGAAAATATGAATATACCCATAGAGAAAAACAGTTATGTAGTGAAAATAAACAAAAAAATAAAAAAGAGAACAGTGGATAACCCAATGTATAATAAAAGCCATTATTAAAAAAAATAAATTATATGCAGAACACAAAAACGATAAAAATAACTTAATAAAAACGGCAACATACCGAAATTATAGAACAATTACTGATAATTTGATAAAACACGCTAAAAAAATATTTTACCAAAAGCTAATTGACGAAAATAAAAACAGCTCTCACGGTCTATGGAAAGTAGTAAATCAACTCCATGGAAATAGTTGTAATAAAAAAGAAGTAATTGATAAAATCCAATCAGAAATCAATCAAATTTTAACTAGTCACAAACTTATTTGCAATGAATTCAACAATTTTTTTTCAAATGTTGGCGAAAAACTGGCGGAAAAAATAATAAAGCCAAACTCTCCATTCCCAAAAAGAAAAAGACTAAAAAAATACTTTTTTTAATGCCTATATCAGAGATCGAAATAAAAAAAAACTATAGAATCTTTAAAAAATAAAAAATCTCCTGGTATTGACGACGTTAAGATTGAAACCGTTAAAGCTATTGCAGATGAGATTACCGCCCTTTTTACACACTTAATAAATCTATTATTCCGGTGTTCAAAAAAGGAGACAAATCTTTACTAACCAACTATCGCCCTATCTCATTAATAACTTCATATGCAAAGATATTTGAAAAAGTTTTAAATAAAAGATTAACTGATTATCTTAAAAAATATGACATTATTTCCCAGTCTCAGTTTGGCTTTCGAACAGGTTTATCCACTAACGACGCCATTGCAAAACTGACCAAAAAGATTTATACATCAGTAGATAAGAAAAACCATGTTCATGTGTATTTCTAGACCTAGCCAAGGCATTTAACACTGTCAGTCATAGACAGTTATTAGATGTCTTGGAGGATATAGGGATACGAGTTAAAACGTTAGATCTATTTGAAAATTATCTGTTTGATCGTCAGCAAGTCGTCAAAATTAAGTCAAAAATAAGTGGATCGAGAACTTTAAAATTTGGAGTGCCTCAGGGAACTATACTTGGGCCTACTTGTTTTTCATTATATATAAACGATTTATTTTCTATTCATTCACAGGGACAAATCATTAGCTTTGCGGATGATACAGCAATAATATTTGAAGCTAAAACATGGAACGATTTAAAACAAAAAGTAGAAACAGATATTACATATATAATGGATTAGTTTAACCATAAACAACTTACAATTAATTTCGACAAGACTTTTTTTCTTCCTTTTACAAGCTATGAAAGCAATTTACCTACATACAAAACAATTGAATTAAAATAAAACAATACCTCTTCATCTTTAAAAATGAAAAATAATTTAAAATATCTGGGAGTTACTATTGATTCACATTTGAGATAGGACAAGCATATTAATAATGTCACCAATACTCTAAGATTTTTATTATTCAAATTTAAATATTTAAAAAAAATTCTAAGCATAACTCATCTTAGAATAATATACTTCGCTTTGGTCCAAAGTCGTATTCAATATGCAATAATGTCTTGGGAAGCTACAACAAAAAATTATTTACAAAAATTAGATATTTTACGAAAAAGAATTTTAAAAATCAGACATAACAAAAATATTCGCTTTCCGTCAGACTTACTATATGAAGAGATAAAAATATTTAATATTCGAAATCTTTATATATACACACCGTTATTATTTATACTTATAAAAATAAACCATTTCTCTGTGGAATCAAACACATCTATTACACCAGAAGTAAATAAAAGGTCTTGTACAAATTCCTCAAATTAATAAATGTATTGGTCAAAGACATTACGTTTATTTAAGTAGTAAAATCTTCAATCTTCTTTCGAATATGTATAGAACTTATAAACTCGATAAATTTTTTAAAAAAATATATTAAAAAATTTATTCTAAATACAGACATTTATTATTTTTCGGAAATATTTAATTAAATTATAATAAAATTGTTTCAATTATCATATCATAGATAAATGTTTTTAAGCTAAATCACAGAACCCTGTAGACTGCTAGGTTCTATTTTATATTAATTATTATTGTTGTTTCTAAGATTATTGTTATTATTGTCATTGTTATTGTTATCATAGTTAATGTTACTATGACAATTATTAATTAATACTATTTTTTATTATTATTCTAATTTTTATTATTGTTATTTTTGTTAGTATTCATTATTATTATTTCTAATTTTTATAATTATTGTTATTTTCATCACTATTATTATTAGTGTTACTATTAAATATTATTATTTTAGTTCAGTTCATTGAATATATTTTAGTGTTTAAAATTGAAAATTTTTTAAAACACCTATCCAAATTGTAATTTACATTTAAATTAAAATAAGTAAACAATTTCAATTATAACTAGGTACAGTCATTAAAATGTAAAATAAATTCAAGAGACGCTAAAATAGTGGTTTCCACCTTATCGAGACTGAGGCTAAACTCGTAGCGTAACAAAAACGAGAAATGATTTAACTTGGAACGAAAGACCGAAAGTCGATAGTAGTATTAGGACGTTGATTTTTTTGGTTTGTGAAGCATTGGCATTAATTAGGTTAAACCATGTGATGATTTCCATAAGCCTTGATTTTTAAAACCATTCTATATCGCCTTTTGATTAGGGTTTACAAACTTGTTTGAGCAATTTATCTAATAATAATTGGCCCCTTTACCTCTGCTCATGTAAAATATTTGGGCTCCTTACTTCGCCTGTTTATATAATATTAATAAATGACAGAAGAATTAGTATTGCAACTATGTTAAAAGAAATAAATTGGCTTTTAGTTCAGAATTATGTTCAGTACATGACTGCTATTTATTTATAAAATAAAAATGACATAGTACGATCGCATCAGATGTATTAGAAAAAATTCAATATAATTCGAAATATCACAACTAAAATACAAGAAGCCAATCTGACTTTTATGTATGGCAAGCCATCACTAAAAGTTCCCAAAATAAAAATTTTATTAAAGGTTTAAAAAATTTAATAGACTGCCTAAATAAATAAAAAAAAAATAAATGTATTCAAAAGTAACCTAAAACAATACTTGATAAATAAACATAACGGATATACTTTCTTGTGTTATTTTACCCCTCGTTTTACCCGCATTTATTATAAATTATTTCTATTTTGAGATCATGTAATTTATTTTAAAAAATTACTTGATGTTATAATAATACTACTTACTATGTTTAAATTATTAATAGTTTTGCGACGATAGATTATAGCAACTTATAGCCACAAAACTATTTTTGTGTTAAAGTAGATCCATGTAATTTACAAAGGCCTTCTTTCAACATACAAATAAATAACAACTTTATAATTAATATAAAAAACACAACAAAATACCTCGGTACCAAGGTAAGAAGATTCATTTTTAAATTTTATTTATTGAGGAAATTTATGACTAGAAGTTTACTAATTATTATTTACAATTCGCTGGTTGAATATGTAATCCAAAATCGTATAATAAAAATTTTCTACAAAAAACCATCATTATGTCCTACCTTTATATTATCTATCTTCCTGTACCTTTATGGAAAGCCTGAATTGATATATACTACAAATTATTTGCAATAAATATCAAAAGAAGTATACATTTTTAAAAAATTTGATATTTAAGAGCCATTCACACATCACAGTTGACGTCTTGATACCTGACAGGCACAGTCAAGCATTATTCTGATTTTTGCTAAATAAAATGGCCGGTTAATTATTCTATGGAGTTGCGACAGAAAGCCAATAAATTTGATAAAGGTGTTTTTGTGACTAGGAGCGAAATAGTAATACGCTTAAGTTAGCACCACCATAAAAAAGTCATTTTTAAGAAATTGCTTATATATTTTTCATAAATTGGCAGGCTTGGCTACTAGTTTCGAATAAAAATAGCCTCCAAAATGGCTATGATTGCAAGTATGAAGGTCGCAACCCGCCTTAGAAATTTCACCTTTACTATCAACAGCTG